CAATGATGAATACTGAAGCGCCAATGAAAATAGCTCGGAAGATCTTGCCAGAATCATTAGCAACAAATTCAATGAAAAATGCCAAAGATCCTGCAATAAGTGTCCCTAGTCCTCTATTAAGCCCTTTGCACAACGTTGCACCTGAAACGATTAAACACCATTTACATCATTAAAAAGACATATCTAAAATTAAGCTTACAAAATATTTTCGTGGTACATTCTTGCAGTTGTACACATGGTGGAATCAAACCCATATATACTTGTACGAAGTTAATATATTTTTCCTAGAATTTAGGCGACGCGAGTTTGTTCATGCATATATATGTACTTCAAAAATAAAATTAAAAAGTTACGATTTTAATTTTTAAAAGGGTTTATAATTAATTACCAGCAGAAAACTCGAGAACGACCACGACGGTCATGACTGCCCACATTGCATTTTTTCCAATGCCTTTGAAGAGAGGCTCCATGAGATACAATAAGGACACAAGTGTTAAGGAAACTCCTACTTTCAAAGCATGTTTCACTCTTCTTGGATCTTCTTTTCCAACTTTGCATAGATTCTTCATAATCTTCTTGATCTTTTTCGGAAGTTCTAAAACCTTCTTCTTGATCTGTCTACAACCTTTCTCCTCCATCTCCAAGCTCCTTTCATGGACCTTGTTCGACATTTTTCTTTTCTTGTTCTGTTTTTTCACCCTTCAAAATGAGAAATATTGAATATGCAAGAGTTTTGGTGTTGGTGTACTCTCAATATATAATTGTATATAGGTGGTGAATCTAGGATGTGTGTGTGATACATATATGCAATGCTTTGTTTCTTTCCGTCTGAATATTTCACATTTACATGTGTCTCTACATTGTCTATTTGTGTATAATTTATATATTTTTGTGGAGATATTTTGTTGGGTTAGATGTTGGTCTGATTTTTATAATCTAACTAAAAGGTTTTATACTATTTTATTAGATTTTTTTTCTTCAAACAAAGCCTTGATAATTTTGATCGTAAAATCTTATATGCTTTTGTGAACTATATAATCACAATTACCTTAAGAAAACAAGTGGGGTTTTCAAATGTTTTCTTATTAAGGTATATATAACTGATGAGAGATTTATATTGGTGGGTTTCACATGACTAGCATAATTTGATAGGTGATAATTAATTAAGATATCTCTCTCCATTAAATTATGAAAAAGTCAAAATATACTTCAATCTAAATAATGGCCGTTCACTAACACAAATTAAATGGACGTTCCATATTGCACTTATAATTTCATTTTTGCATTCACCATTTATATGCATGCATATGTCACCAATTCCTTCAAAATAATTCATTGATCGTTGCGCGCATATCTTGATCGAATAAATATCTTATTTTCCTAAATAAACAAGTATGTTTTCTCTGTCAGAAACTTAAATAAATCTTCATCTGAAAGTAGGCAAAATACTCATCTAGTTATCCTTAAACTATGATGATGTTAGAGTCATAATATTTTTTTTTAGCAATTTTTAAATCTAAAAGTCTAAAAGTTATAAGTGGTTTCAAGTATCAGACAAACAAGTCGTGTTTTCAAGTTTCGTTGTCGAGTTTAACCTAACACATTGAAAAGCTTGACTAATCTTATATTTACAGAAGTGAAAATAAATTTGATTACGTAGGGTGAGAATTTGTTATCAACACGACTAAGACCTACAATTTGTCGTGTTAGGTTGAAAATTTAAAATATTAGTATTTGTCCACAACCTGGTGACAGCAGAAGACCGAAAATGAAAGAAAATATTATCGAAATAAATATTTAAATTGATCTAACCTATGGCTCATAGACGTAATGATCATACAATTACTAGTAAATAGGTGATCATCCAATAATTAATATATATGTATAATGACGGCGAATCGGCGATAAGGACATACTCAATATATAATTAAGACCACTTAATGATATGGTTTCCTCGTAGATATTTTAGTTTTTTCATAAGTCCTCGGCTTTAAATTATTTTTAACTTTTAAATTTCAGTTACATTAGATACCGAAGTTAGCGATTGACTAACATAATATTACAAGATTCTATGGAAGTATTTTCATGGTAGATTATATGGAAATGAAAATAAATACACAAAAACACTAGGTTGCACTGAGACCGGTATGTGGACAAGAAACGGGGACAGACACTGAGACAGAAAACGGTAATATTAAAAATTTATGGATACGGATACGGTAGGGATACGTCAATAG